GACGCCAAAAAAGAAGGCCGTGCCGAAGAGGCCTTCCCCGGACGCCCAAAAGCCGGAGAAGAAGGCTGTGCCGAAGAGGCCTTCCCCGGCCGCCCAAAAGCCGGAGAAGAAGGCTGTGCCGAAGAGGCCTTCCCCGGACGCCCAAAAGCCGGAGAAGAAGGCTGTGCCCGAAGAGGCCTTCCCCGGACGGCCAAAAGCCGGAGAAGAAGGCCGTGCCGAAGAGGCCTTCCCGGAAGCCCAAAAGCCGGAGAAGAAGGCGTGCCGAAGAGGCCTTCCCCGGACGCCCAAAAGCCGGAGAAGAAGGCCGTGCCGAAGAGGCCTTCCCCGGACGCCCAAAAGCCGGAAGGCCGTGCCGAAGAGCCTTCCCCGGACGCCCAAAAGCGGAGAAGAAGGCTGTGCCGAAGAGGCCTTCCCCGGACGCCCAAAAGCCGGAGAAGAAGGCCGTGCCGAAGAGAGCTTCCCCGGACGCCCAAAAGCCGGAGAAGAAGGCCGTGCCGAAGAGGCCTTCCCCGGACGCCCAAAGCCGGAGAAGAAGGCCGTGCCGAAGAGGCCTTCCCGGACGCCCAAAAGCCGGAGAAGAAGGCCGTGCCGAAGAGGCCTTCCCCGGACGCCCAAAAGCCGGAGAAGAAGGCCGTGCCGAAGAGGCCTCCCCGGACGCCCCGGAGAAGAAGGCGTGCCGAAGAGGCCTTCCCCGACGCCCAAAAGCCGGAGAAAGAAGGCTGTGCCGAAGAGGCCTTCCCCGGACGCCCAAAAAGAAGAGGCGTGCCGAAGAGGCCTTCCCGGCCCAAAAGCCGGAGAAGAAGCCCTTCTGTGCCGAAGAGGGACGCCCAAAAGCCGGAGAAGAAGGCTGTGCCGAAGAGGCCTTGCCCGGACGCCCAAAAGCCGGAGAAGAAGGCCGTGCCGAAGAGGCCTTCCCCGGACGCCCAAAAGCCGGAGAAGAAGGCCGAAGAGGCCTTCCCGGACGCCCAAAAGCCGGAGAAGAAGGCCGTGCCGAAGAGGCCTTCCCCGGACGCCCAAAAGCCGGAGAAGAAGGCGTGCCGAAGAGGCTTCCCGGACGCCCAAAAGCCGGAGAAGAAGGCCGTGCCGAAGAGGCCTTCCCGGACGCCCAAAAGCCGGAGAAAGAAGGCTGTGCCGAAGAGGCCTTCCCCGGACGCCCAAAAGCCGGAGAAGAAGGCGTGCCGAAGAGGCCTTCCCGGACGCCCAAAAAGCCCGAGAAGAAGGCCGTGCCGAAGAGCCTTCCCGGACGCCCAAAAGTCGGAGAAGAAGGCCGTGCCGAAGAGGCCTTCCCGGACGCCCAAAAGCGGAGAAGGCGTGCCGAAGAGGCCTTCCCCGGACGCCCAAAAGCCGGAGAAGAAGGCGTGCCGAAGAGGCCTTCCCGGACGCCCCAAAGCCGGAGAAGAAGGCCGTGCCGAAGAGGCCTTCCCCGGACGCCCAAAAGCCGGAGAAGGCGTGCCGAAGAGGCCTTCCCCGGACGCCCAAAAAGCCGTGCCCTTCCCCGGACGCCCAAAAGCCGGAGAAGAAGGCCGTGCCGAAGAGCCTTCCCGGACGCCCAAAAGCCGGAGAAGAAGGCCGTGCCGAAGAGGCCTTCCCCGGACGCCCAAAAGCCGGAGAAGAAGGCCGTGCCGAAGAGGCCTTCCCCGGACGCCCAAAAGCCGGAGAAGAAGGCCGTGCCGAAGAGGCCTTCCCCGGACGCCCAAAAGCCGGAGAAGAAGGCTGTGCCGAAGAGGCCTTCCCCGGACGCCCAAAAGCCGGAGAAGAAGGCTGTGCCGAAGAGGCCTTCCCCGGACGCCCAAAAGCCGGAGAAGAAGGCGTGCCGAAGAGGTCCCGGACGCCCAAAGCCGGAGAAGAAGGCCGTGCCGAAGAGGCCTTCCCCGGACGCCCAAAAGCCGGAGAAGAAGGCGTGCCGAAGAGGCCTTCCCCGGACGCCCAAAAGCCGGAGAAGAAGGCCGTGCCGAAGAGGCCTTCCCGGACGCCCAAAAGCCGGAGAAGAAGGCGTGCCGAAGAGGCCTTCCCCGGACGCCCAAAAGCCGGAGAAGAAGAAGAGGCCTTCCCCGGACGCCCAAAAGCCGGAGAAGAAGGCTGTGCCGAAAGGCCTTCCCCGGACGCCCAAAAGCCGGAGAAGAAGGCCGTGCCGAAGAGGCCTTCCCCGGACGCCCAAAAGCCGGAGAAGAAGGCTGTGCCGAAGAGACCTTTCCCGGACGCCCAAAAGTCGGAGAAGAAGGCCGTGCCGAAGAGGCCTTCCCTGGACGCCCAAAAGCCGGAGAAGGCTGTGCCGAAGAGGCCTTCCCCGGACGCCCAAAAGCCGGAGAAGAAGGCCGTGCCGAAGAGGCCTTCCCCGGACGCCCAAAGCCGGAGAAGAAGGCCGTGCCGAAGAGGCCTTCCCCGGACGCCCAAAAGCCGGAGAAGAAGGCCTTGCCGAAGAGGCCTTCCCCGGACGCCCAAAAGCCGGAGAAGAAGGCCGTGCCGAAGAGGCCTTCCCCGGACGCCAAAAGCCGGAGAAGAAGGCCGTGCCGAAGAGGCCTTCCCCGGACGCCAAAAGCCGGAGAAGAAGGCCGTGCCGAAGAGGCCTTCCCGGACGCCCAAAAAGCCGGAGAAGAAGGCCGTGCCGAAGAGGCCTTCCCCGGACGCCAAAAGGGAGAAGAAGGCGTGCCGAAGAGCCTTCCCCGGACGTGCCCGAAGAGGCCTTCCCCGGACGCCCAAAAGCCGAAGGCGTGCCGAAGAGGCCTTCCCCGGACGCCCAAAAGCGGAGAAGAAGGCTGTGCCGAAGAGGCCTTCCCCGGACGCCCAAAAGCCGAGAAAGAAGGTGCCGAAGAGGCCTTCCCCGGACGCCCAAAGCCGGAGAAGAAGCCGTGCCGAAGAGGCCTTCCCGGACGCCCAAAAGCCGGAGAAGAAGGCCGTGCCGAAGAGGCCTTCCCCGGACGCCCAAAAGCCGGAGAAGAAGGCCGTGCCGAAGAGGCCTTCCCCGGACGCCCAAAAGCCGGAGAAGAAGGCCGTGCCGAAGAGGCCTTCCCCGGACGCCAAAAGCCGGAGAAGAAGGCCGTGCCGAAGAGGCCTTCCCGGACGCCCAAAAGCCGGAGAAAGAGGCCGTGCCGAAGAGGCCTTCCCCGGACGCCCAAAAGCCGGAGAAGAAGGCCGTGCCGAAGAGGCCTTCCCCGGACGCCCAAAAGCCGGAGAAGAAGACCGTGCCGAAGAGGCCTTCCCCGGCCGCCCAAAAGCCGGAGAAGAAGGCTGTGCCGAAGAGGCCTTCCCCGGACGCCCAAAAGCCGGAGAAAAGGCTGTGCCGAAGAGGCCTTCCCCGGACGCCCAAAAGCCGGAGAAGAAGGCTGTGCCGAAGAGGCCTTCCCCCAAAAGCCGTAAAAAGCCGTGCCGAAGAGGCCTTCCCCGGACGCCCAAAAGCCGGAGAAGAAGGCTGTGCCAAAGAGGCCTTCCCCGACGGCCAAAAGCCGGAAAAGAAGGCTGTGCCGAAGAGGCCTTCCCCGGACGCCCAAAAGCCGGAGAAGAAGGTCGTGCCGAAGAGGCCTTCCCCGGACGCCCAAAAGTCGTAGAAGGCCGTGCCGAAGAGGCCTTCCCCGGACGCTCAAAAGTCGTAGAAGGCCGTGCCAAAGAGGCCTTCCCAAAGACCGGAGAAGAAGGCTATGCCGAAGAGGCCTTCCCCGACCGCCCAAAAACCTTCCCGGCAGCCCATAAACCGGAGAAGAAGGCCGAGACGAAGAGGCCTTCCCCGGCCACCGAAAAGCCGAAGAAAGCCGAGTCGAGTAGGCAGCTCTGCAAGACGCAGCTTTATCCGAATCCCAACAGGACGCCCATTCTGCCTGGCCATCACAGGGTAATCAATGCTTTTCGGACCAAGGTTGAGTTCGATTCCAAATATTTCCCGCTGTTCCTCGGTTACTTTCGGCAGGTGCGGAAATGGATCGAATTCCGGAGCGGCTGATTCGCGGAATGAGCCAAGAGCACGTGGTCGTTCAGGGCCGGAGGCGATCCAAACTGCTGTTAACTTCATGATTGAGGTCATCTCGAAATTCAACCAGAGAGTCTACCGCGACCTCGTTTACCTAACCGAGTAAACGGTTTCCAAGGACGACTTGCACCGCGTCAAAGTGCTGGCGCTGAGCGGAGCGAAAGTCTGGGGCCTGTAGTGTTTTCCCCAGATAACTTTGTATACCACAACGCTGGTTTTGCAGAGAGCAACTTACGGACAGGGGAGCTGCTTTAATAAAAGTGGAAGCTGGCGAGAATTGCAGCATGACCAGCATGACTAAAATGCTTTTAAATTGCAGCATGACCGGCCGTCACAACCCTGAAGCCTTTAACCCGTAAGTATAAAGAAGAGCTGCTTTAATAAAAGTGGAAGCTGGCGAGAATTGCAGCATGACCAGCATGACTAAAATGCTTTTAAATTGAAAGTCACCTTGTTAAGATCATCATTGTTATATTCAACTTTTTCATTCTTTCATGATCTGTTAGTGTAATATTTTTTTTTCCATATTATCAATCTTTTTTCTTTGTTAAGATAAAACTTGTCCATTCTTCTTATAAAACCAAAATAACAAATAAATAAAACCAAAATAAAAATAAATGAACTAAACGAACCAAGGATTAAACGAAACCAAAAATTTCACAATATAACCTGAGGTTCCCTCACTCTGTATATTCTCAAAAATGTACAATTCATATATCCCATCCTATCTGGCCTCTTACAAAGAATGAAAATATACTTATCTCTCTCTCTTGCAGCTCAAGACCTCGGGGCGCAAACCACACACTGCTACTTGGACAAGCGAACCACTCAAGAGAGTGATACTCGGCAAGACTGTTGCTTTTATGAACTCGTGTGTCTAGTCGCATAATACTTTTATTTTATATAAATTAAAATAAAGGAGATTAAAATTAAGAGTAAAACTTATTTAACAATTAAAAGTTAAAATAAACACGAGGCCGTTAAGGAATGATAAAATGTATAAATAAAACAACAAATAAAAAAAAGCTCCAGGTGCCTGTCAAGAACTCCCACAGATGGTGCTGGTCTGGAGGTGCTGCGCTATTAACAGGGGGGACTCGCCTAATCTGGACTCGCAACATAGTGGGGGTACATCACGTCCACTACAGTCCAATAAACCGCGGAGGCGACGGTCATCAAACTGTCTGCCAACACGCAGGACATTATCGGTTTACATATATGTTATAACACACTCTCAGCGTGAGAAATGACTCCTAATAATACCATAACACGCAGAGATGCTCGA